ATACATCTGTTTAAGAACAAAATCAGCCATTTAAGACAAATATTAAGACAATGGTAGTATAGGTGAATATAATAGATACAATATGCCAGTGTCCAAGGTATGGGAAACACTGATCCATAGGATTAAATATAAGCTTCTCGGCTTGAAAATCATGTGATTCCACAAACTGTAGCCCCTGCCCAGCCCACCCCTCAGCCCAACACCTGTCTCCCAGAGCACCTCTGTCTGGCCCTCGGGAAACCCTTGGAGTTGCTAATTCCTAACCACATCCAGAGCTTCTCCGGCTCTGATCCTTCACACACAGCGTGACTTCCATCTGGATGCTTCCCACACCACAGCCAGCCCCGCAGTCCCTCCAGTCCTCACCTTGCAAACACCTCCTGGGACTTCCCTGGCGGCAGCAGTTAAGACTCCAAGCTTCCACTGCAGGCGGCGTGGAATTGGTCGGGGAACTAAGATCCCACATGCTGCATGGCCAAAAAACAACAACAACAACAACAACAAACAAAAAGACACCTTCTGACCCAGGAAGACTTCTCCCATGAGGCCACTTGGGTCCCTGTGGCAGAGCTCGTGGCTCTGTCCCCGCGGCCCATCCCATTGTGTCTCCCTCTGCCCCTGGGTTCTGAGCTCTTCAGCGATGCCTGTCAGCCCCTGCCGCCGGAACAACCTTCGCCCGCCCACCAGCTTCGCCTCCCCTCCTGTCCTGGCCCCTGTCTGAGGTTTCCCAGGTCCAGACCATGGAAGACCATTTGCGCACCAGCAGTTACTCAAGGAAATGCAACCAGGGGAAGCTGGTGAGAGAGGGGGACACAGCATAGGAATGGGGAGTGAGGGGGAGTGAGGGCTCAGGCACAGCCACACAGAGGGAAGGAAGCTTCCATGGCATCCCAGGGCTCCTCAGGAGGATAAGTGGTGCCGCTGCCTTGTCCTCACCTGAGGAGGGAGCTGGGCTTTCACACTCCCACACCCCTCAGGGTTAGGAGCCCCGTCCCCTTCCCCTGCCAGTGCTGCTGTGGGAAGCTAGGCGCGGGGCGGGGTGGGGGGACCGTATGTCTGTAAGGACCCGTCCAAGGAGAGGTGGGCAGAGAATCAACATCTGATCCGAGCCCTCCTTAACCCACACAGATCCACTCGCGTCCCATATGAATTCCACTCTGGGTGGAGAACGCTGACTGGAGAAGGGCTGGTGGGGTCACGTACAGCCCCTGAGGCCCCAGCTGAGGCTTCTCATCTTCCCCATCCTTGGCTTTAGCATCTCTGCTGGTCTGGGTGGCTTGTCTGATGGGGTTACTCAGAAATTTACCCCCAAGGAGCCAGAGCCCCTGCTTGAAAGATATGGATACCCTTGTCCCCTCAGTGAATGGTTGCTCAGGGAAACGGACCCAGGTCTATTTGGGGGAAGGACCAAGGAAACACTACTCTATACGAATACTGGGAACTGTTGCATCGTAAAGTCCTTGCCCAGGGGACCGGCTTCTCCTGCGATCAGCGGGCTCTCGCTCAGAACTGGCTCAGATCTAGGAACTGGGAAAGAGATTGTGACTTTCCACTGGGGAAGATGACATTGGCGTTCAAGGTCACCACTTTATTTATTTATTTTTTAAATATAAGTCAAGCAATAGCCTAGTTGGCTGCTCACCCATCTTGTCCCCGGGAACACCATTGTCTGCTACCCATCACCATGGATCCCTTCAGGCCTGGGCCTTCTGGGCGCCATCCCCAGCTTACTGCCCATTTCAGTAACTATGTCTGTCTTGTCCTGGGAGTTAAGCATTACATCTGGCCGCTGCTACTCCAAGGATGCTGCCACCCTGTTGACACGAGAAGGCACTTCTAATGTCAGCCCAGGCCTGCAGACAGCAGCTCCTGCTTAGCTCCTGAATGAAGCCAGTGCCTCCTCACCTGCACACTGCTTGCCTCCTCGGGGAGGCAAGGTCCTCTGGGCTCTCTCACAGCATAGAGTCAACAATGGGTTCTTTGGAATAAAAACATCTATTTTCTCCAGACTTCTGAAACTTTAATGCAACACTCTGCGCAGGCAGTCCTGGCAACCCCAGCTCACTCAACGTGGACCATCGTCACGTCCAAGCTTCCAGCGGTCGTCAACCCCAGCTCACTCAACGTGGACCATCGTCACGTCCAAGCTTCCAGCGGTCGTCAACCCCAGCTCACTCAACGTGGACCATCGTCACGTCCAAGCTTCCAGCGGTCGTCAACCCCAGCTCACTCAACGTGGACCATCGTCACGTCCAAGCTTCCAGCGGTCGTCTCTGCAGAGCAGTAGGACCAGCTCCAGGTGCCCTTGCCAGGGCACTACCCAGGGGGACACAGAGGTGTGTCTCAATCTCCAGGCTAATATGCCACCCACTCCCAGCCCCTCAACCTCCAGATCCACTCCTAGGTGTGCTTCCCTTGTTCCCGCTGGTAGGTATTAGCCAGGACTTGCAGGTCCTTTGGTGAATAATCCCTTCCCTCCCTTGGCAGAGCCAGCGCTGCCCCAACCAGGCCGTGCCGGGCCTAGAACCTCATGATAGGAGGGCAAGTATTGTCTTGAAAGACATCTGCCTCAACCAGACCTCTGCATGGTCTCTGGACAAGGTAAGACGCACAGCTGGTGTTTCTAGCAAGGGTAATCGGGTCACACCTGCTGCCCAGAGTTGAGGGAAATGTGGGGGCTTGGTGTTCTCTAGGACGTTGCCCAGATACGCTGATCCAAGCCAGAAGTTTCACTACTCTTGCATTTACGCCTTGTGCCTACTCCTTGGCAGTCGACGCTTGGCAGAAAGAACCGAGTCCCTTTAAATACTGCATGGAGGCCTTCTGACGGTCTCTCTGTGTCTTCAGTTGATAACTGTGGTCCCGAACCTCTCTTTTACCCTCATCGTGGCTTTAATGGTGCTCAGCAAAACCAACCCATTCCACGGTACCTATAATAACCATTTCTCACATCTCTGAAGTGCTCAAGATACCGCATGAGCTGGGGCATCCCCTCTCACCTGGTATCCTGTCCTGTCCATCAGTATAGTGGCCAGGGGTCACCACCCACAAGGGGGCCCCTGTTGCTACAATGGGCAAGTGGCCCAAGCCCAGGGTCCCCACTTTAGACTCCACTTGCTAAGACCGCTGTCAACACCGTCAGTCTTAAGGTGGGCTCTCCAGGAGCAGACCTTGAAACAAGGGTCTATGTGTGCGTGATTTATTAAGGCCATGGAGACACCAAAACTGGCTTTCTCCAGCTTCCACTCTCTGGTCCTCATCCCTCCCAGGAGGGTTTTACTGAATGAGCCCATCCCCCACCAAGGGTCTCAGGCTAGAAGGAAGTCTCTAGGGTGAGGGGCACTGGGCACGGGCCTGAATACTAAGTCCCTTGTTTCTAGAGCGACCAGGAAAATGTGCCAGAGAAATGAAGCCCCATAAAACCCAGAGGCGAAAACACAGGCAGGACAATGTATTTCCTCATTTTAATTTATTTTTCGTTGTTTGTTTCTCACTTACCAACACATCTGTAAAACGTAGCAGGCTCTGTTAGTAAAGGAGAAGCAGGGAGGACAGCAGGGCAGAATCTAAGGAGCCAAATGGGGGAGTCGAGAGCAGGAAGGGCTTGGGGGCCTGAGGTGGCGGGTGCCCCCCCCCCCCGCCCCTGGCATCATCCTGCCTTCCCACAAGGCATCATGTTGCTGCTGCTTTGACTGAGCCCCAGATGTTTACAAAACTGTCATAAAGAGCATTTCTGTTGCCTCCAATCCCTGTCCCTGACATTCTCCCTCTGACTCCCGGCAATGAGGCAGGGTCTACTCGGGCCAGCCCTCTGCACAGCCTGGCCCGGGAGAACCTGCCCCTGCGTCTCAAGGCCCCGACCCCATAGCCTCAGTCCCTGGACAGGCATCTCAGAAGGGAGGCTAGGGTGGGGCTACCCGGAGCTCTTTGGGAAGGATAGAGGGACCACCCCTTAGGACCTTGGACAGCACTCCCAGAATGCCCTCTGCTTCAGCCCCAGGCTTCTATTCAAGAGGCATTAGGGGGCTTCCCTGGTGGCGCAGTGGTTGAGAGTTCGCCTGCCGATGCAGGGGACACGGG